CTATGTCTGTATCTTTATCTATATGCAAGGTGTACCCATTCCTAATTGTTAACACTGTTTTACTTTCAAGATCTAAAACTGAAGAATGTGAGTGTCAGGAATGTACAGGGGTGTCTGGTATGGATGTAATAGCATGGCCTATGATTAATTTAGTGTTTAGTCCTTTTCATGAATTAACTTGTTATTCAAGCATTTATTTCTATCATAAACTGTTCCTTTATAAAGGAAAACCACTTTATGGTTGCTTAATGCAAGAGATTCCAATGTAAAATACAGCAAGGAATAATTCTATATAGTGGCAACTTTGTGACTTCCAAACCAAATTCAATTTTAAAAATAGGATTCTCTGTATTTCCAGTTTTAAATTTCTTATATAACACAATCCTTTTCTTACATGTTTTTTTACCTTATCAGGCTGATAAATTTTGACTTTATGATGAACATAATAAAAACTATATATTTAACAAGTCCTTCTTAGTTAAGAATATTTCTTATAATTTCCTATTGGTAACAAAATTTGTTTTCATCATTTTTACCTGTTTTATCATGAACTGAATTGTGATTTCTTACTGAGACATGAAACTTAAGATAATTAAGTTTTTCTTATTAGTCCAGAATCACAGTATGCTATTTCCACTACAGTGGTGATGATCTTTTTTTTTTTTCAAAATACCGAGGACCATCCCTTGCCAAGTGCTGACAAATGACCTTTAAAGTCAACTACAGAGAAAAGCACTGAATAGATTCACGGCACTTCGCAGAAATGGGGATGAAGAGCCCACTTGTGTTGAAATATGTTGTCGCATGATTACTTGATTACTGTCACTGGTATTTTCATCCTTTCAAGAAATTTTGTAGTTGGTTTTTGTCTTACAATGGTGATGAGAGTCAGGAGTATGACAGTCTAAACCCAGAGATCCAGTATCGAGCTAGAATGCAGACCTGTGTTGTTTTCACTATCTGCTGATGGAGCAAGCAGCAATGCTGAGGTGATTCTGTGCATGGGAACAGGTGCACCAGCACCTGCAAGTCCACAGTCGGATGGGGAGCAGAAGCCAGTGGTATCTGAAATACAGAGCAGAAGTGGTGTCCTGTAAAGTTCAGGAGAAGAGCCCTGTGGAAACAGTGTTCCAAGTGTCACAGATGAAAAGGCCTTCTGCTATCACATTTTCTCCTATCACTGAGGATAGGATTGGAGAATCAGCAGAGCAACAGATTTTTCCCCTTTATAGTTTTTACTGTATAGCAAACAGTACTGGGTGAGGTAAAAGAGTTTTAATTGTCTTTTCTCCATTTCTTCTCTTTCTAAACAGTTAAATACAATTACTTTTTGTCAAACTAAATAAATGTACAACTATTCCTGGAAGCCAAATTTCTTTTGATCTGCAAAATCTTGGGAACTGTGTCACACAATTGAAGAACATACTTGTACATTGTTAATAGTGGGATGTTATACATGCATCACTTAAGCTTATCCTTGCTGTGGCTTGTGGACTGAGTCACAGCCTCTCTTCTAAAGCTGGACCTCCTGCTCTGTGATAAATCATGCTGAGAGCAGATGAGCTAATGCTGCTCCTCTGTTCTCTGGGAGCTTCTGTTCTATCTGAATGCTCTAACTATTGAGACCTTAGAAAATTAATCATGCTGTTGTGTGTGGATGTCTACACTTGACTTTTGTATAGGATCTTCTTTCTGTTAGCCCCTGACTAATTAGACCTGACTGAGTCAGACTTAAGGCTCCTCTGGCAAGCATCCTGTCTTTGACAGTGGCCAACAGCATGACCTAGGGTAGAGGAATAAAATGGAGCAATGGGGCAATATAATTACTGTCAAGAATACTCTTTCAGTTTCCAGAAAACAGTAGTTGAAGGACTTGTAGTTCTTAGCTGTGCAACTTTCTATTCCTGCCTCTGTTAATACCCAGGGAGGAATAACCTAGACAGGGAGAGTGGCTTCTAACACTAGCTCTCAAGTTGTGCTTCCTTGGAAGATCAGATTCACTCCTTCTCCTTGCAGTGTTGTTTTGCTCATGCATGTTCATTTCACAGCTTTGTTGTCTCTGATATTCTGTCACAGGAGAATATGCAACTGTGAAGTGCCTTATTCTTTCTCCACAATTTCATCTGATTCTGGGGATTGCCTCTGCCACTCCGAGCAACACTGAAGTCCATAATTTCTCAGCCCTCTTTAGCAAGGTGACAGTTTTTCCTGATGTCCTTGTGCAGTTTGTGAACAGATACTGCTCATAAGATCCTGGTAATTTAAAGCTGCAAGGGAAGAACAAAGTCCATGTGTAATAATAGGCCCTTTTCATTGCAGAAGCTTCAGAAACTATGGCATTCCTTTTAGCAGCAAGACATGAGTTCTCTTTTTGGATCACAGTCGTTCGGTTTTCAGTGCCTGCTTGAGTGCATCACCATCTGTCTGTTGGGTCAAGGCTAATGCACTTAAGCATGTGGCTGATATTGGCCCACATTTATTCCCATTGAAATAATGCTTTGTAAAGAAGGACTTGTAAAGATATTATAGCAGGTGCTGTAAAATAGGAAAGTATTTTGAATGGAACTAGTCTTGACTGAGATGATACTTTCCAGGGAGACATAAATATGTGAGAAAGTAACCCTTTAATAATTAGCACTATAGAAAACATTAAAAAAAAGGCCAAAACCCCCACCTTAAGAACCATGTTCTGTGAGGATGAAGGAAATGCTTGCTATGAGTTACTCTCAAGTGAGTAACAGTGAAAAGTTCTATTATCAGCAATAAGAACTAAGTTTTTCTATTTTTAGTCTCTCTGTGTACCTCCATAAGCAATTCTACTTCAGGTTAATGGGAAGTATTTAGTGAACTTCTCTGGATTCTGTATTAGGGCTTTTGAATATAAAGGAAGTAAAAGCCTCTTTTGTTTCTAAGAACAGTTTCGTTTTTCTGTATTTTTTGTCGATCTTGAAATATCAATTGTTTCTATATTTATTTATAATTTTTCCATATTTATTTTTAGCATTTGTCAGTTCCTAGAGTAAAATATTTTAAATTAAAATTCTATTCAATGCTAATTTATTCTCATATTGAATTTTTCCTGTCTACAGAAATGGCAATTCATAAACATTACACTGACTGCCTTTGTCCCCTTTTCACATTACTGGAAATCAGGAGTTAATTCTGTTGAAGTTACTGTACTTATTCAGGTCTAAATGTCTAATGTTCTAAGTGAGAAAGAAAAAAGGGCCACAAAATCCTTCCTGGAGCAGGTTAATGAATATTCAGGAGACACAACTGATTAATATGCTTCTAACCTAATGTGCTGTCCTGTAAGAACTTGAAAAACAATTGGTCTGAAATGACACTGTTTGACATCCACTCTGTCTCTGGACAGCTGGCAGTTTTATTCTTATAAAGGTGAGGACTCAGTGGATAAAGCCCTAGCCTTTGATCTTCAGATCCACAGTTTAAGAGACAAGGCTGCAAGTTTGGTCATTTGAGCTTAGTCCCAAGTGAACAGTCCACATCACAAAATGATTATACATAATTTGTTACTATTGGCAGTGTCTGTTCAGGAAAGGCCAAGGACTGAGCTAGCATGAAGAATGAATTAGATCTTACCTTTTACATTTTATTTCCTCCCTCTTTACTGTTGTAATTTTATTATCCTGTCTCTAAAACATTCAGGGGATGAAATTATCATTCATTATAAGTACTAATACTTCTTGAAGATGAACTAAAATAGTCTTTTTTTTTTTTTTTTTTAATTCTAGGTGCCCCAATCAGTGAACATCCCCACCTATCTATGGGTGTCTAATATACACTCATCATTTCTCAGCCAAGTAGTCAGGTGTTTCTGAGTGCTTTCCAAAGCTTGTGCTGTGAAAAATCCTATTTCAGTTAAAGAGAAGAGGGTTCTCAGGCAGGCTTGCAGCTTACATTTAGATTGGACTTGTATGGACTTCATGCTGCATCATTCTGTTTTTAAAAATATTATTTCCAAAAGGTTCACAATTTCCATTACATCCTTCTGACAGTACTTGTGACAGGTATGTTTGATCAGCAACTTTCTTCATGTATTCACTTCCCATTGGAAGCCAGATGTTTCAGTCTATTCATAGGTATTCACTCTAGGAAAATCATTCCAATCTGGAATCTGCCCTCATGGAGCACTGTCCACACCATCTCAGTGCACTTGGAAGGGATCTCGGTTCACGTTGCTTAATGTTTCTGTCAGAAAGAAGGACAAAGTAAGGTAAACTGAAAGAAGCCAGTAACTGAGCTGTTTGTGATTCTGAAAGACATTTTACATGAACTCCAGCTCTAAATTCCAAAAATGACCTTTAAGTGATTTGCACACACAATCAAAAATCTCTAGTTCACTTAGAATCTGAGTCCAGCTCTTGCCCTTTGGGATACTAATCTTGAGGACACAGAACTGTAATTCTGCTACTCAACACAATATCATGGTGATGTAAAAAAAGAAAGAGCCGAAAGCCAAAATATACCTCCTGAATCTATCTGATGCACACACTGCCAAAATAATTTAGTGACAAATTTTACAGCTTCCATAGATTTTCCAGTTTTGCTCATATTTTCAATCAGATATTTTTGTTCCCTAGGAAAGAGTGGTTATCTCCCTAGGGAGGGCAAGTACAAAATTAAGATTGTACGTATGGTGATCTTCAGGCCCAGAAATAGGTAACTGGGGTTAAATGATGGAAGAAGTGTTTTCTGCTGACATCATAACCTATTTCCTATGCAAAATGCATGGATCTGAACTATTGTAGATGTGTTTCTTCCTGGTGTCACTGAACAGTACTTCCCTCCCATTCACTCTTCTCTGAAGTCTCAGCCTAGCACAAGTGGTAAGTGAAAGTATTTCTAACAGAAATCAATAATTTGTCCTTTTGTCCCACTTCCTAGAAAATAATATACTCACTTCCTATTTCTTAAAGATGGCCAGTGAATGAACTTCTAAGCATTATCTGTAACAATATGGTAAACTCTATTTTCCCTAAAGGCTGCCTGCTATAGAATAATTTCAGTTTTTTTGATAACTAGTTAACTGTTCAAAGAAATGAGAGTTTACACAAAAAAATAATATTTCATTAGAAAGAGCTTAGCACACAATAAAATGTAAAGTTTGAGTGCTGTTTTCTGATTGCTCCTATGCAAGCTTAGTGTTTAAAGGTATGTCTCTGTAGATATGGCAATATTTCTCAGAGCTTCTTCTAAATAGCTTGTTATTAGCCATATCACACAAAGCTTGATACTATAGCATAGTGACATCTCTGTATCTACCATGTATTATAGCATTGAGCATTTCAGCCTTAGTAATTTAAAAATCCACTAGCTAGAAGGTGCCTGCATTTAAACAGTCTTTTTCAGCATTTGAATTGCATAATCCCTATTTGTGTGGATTTTTTCTAAACAACAAACTTTGTTCTCAATTCCTGTGGGTAGGATTAATGGCAGAGTTTAAAGGACAAGCTGTGTGATCTATCAAAATGTGTACATGCTGAGATCTTAGAAAAACATGACTACATTTTGTGTATTACTGTCAGTTGGGGTGGCAAAAGGGTTGGATTGCTGCAGGGTCAGAAAGCCGGTAAGAATGAGTTATATATTGAATGCTGGCTGTGTGTTGGATATGGTAAAAACATTTAAGAAAGAATCTATGCTGCAAGGAAATCACAATGCAGCACAACATCAGCTAAATAATTCACAAAGCCACATTCAGAAATGATGGAACTCCACTGACATTCTCGAAACAGTTGCTGGTTTAAATTTGGTTGATGCATAGTAGTCCATCTGGTATTTAACCAAGTTGATGTGAGCTATGGTCTGGCTCAGGTAATTTTTTTCTCCTGTTATATTAGGAGAAATACATGCTAAGTAAGAGATAATTGCATAAGAGAGAGGTTAGGAATGGCATGGGAGAAGTCATGAAGATAAAATACCATGCATGGCTCAACAGCAAACCTTCCTGTTGATTAAGAAGTGGCACTGATGGTATCCTTGCTTTAATGAGACTTCAAGATGAGTGATGCACACAGCAGTTCTTTTGTTTTTCAGCTCTTAGGCAACAGAATACCATAATGGTAAAGTTCTTTCATTAACTTCCACTGTTTATTCAATATTTAGTGCTTTTGTGTAGTAACTAATATATACTGTTAATTTGGGAATTGTGTCTGTCCTGCAAGGGACATGACAAACACTGTACATCTCCCTCTATTTGTGTTCTTTGCTTTGCTTTCAGTTTTTCCATTTCAACAATCTTTTTTTTTTTTATTATTCCACTCTTTTCTACTAATTTCTGACTACCTTTAGTAATCAGACTAGCATGGTTCTGTTCCCTGATTATTCTTTCCCTATACTGTTCATTAAACCTTTCCTTCATTGTTTATTGTCTGATTTCAGGCTGCTTTGTTAAACATTCTGCCACATTCTGAGTTTTTACTCATTGCTTAATCCCATAGGTTTACTACAGCGAATTGTTTAATAAATCTGTCAGCATATATGTCTGTGAGGTAATGCTCACATGCAGGCACAATGCAACAGACATGAGGCACAAGGAAAAACAATGAAATGTTACGTTGTTTTGGTTGCACCTATGCAGTTTTGAGGAGTAAAACAATTCTCTATTTAGCAATTATATCCTTGACAAAGGAAATCTCCATATAATTTCCATCTTTACCTGATACAAAGACCTTCTCCTCTCTTCTGATATGTTGTTGCAGGTAACTTCTGATGTTACAAATTAGAAGAGTCTAAGTGGTATAATAATAAGGATTTTTCTCCATCCAGCTAGAAAAGGAGTGAATTACAAGTAGATTTTTTTTTAGAAAGCTATTATTTTCCATTATGCCAATGGGTGAAATTTTAATTTTAAAGATGTAAGTAATATCACATATGTAGCTATGTGTTTTAAGGCTCTGAAAACTTCTCACAAGATAAATAATTTTAGCCTCATTACTGTTTATGGGTTTACAGGCAGTTATTGAGATACAGAAGAATAAGTTCACCTTCAGAGATTATTTTTCAGACTAAGCTTTTAAATCCCACTTACTCAAGGTGGCTGTAGAAGCAGGTTTCTTCTCAGAGATTCTTATAATTTGTATGTTATCTCATATTCAGCCTAGCACTTCTTAAAGAGAAAATGATAACAGTAAATGGAATTTCCCATTCCCATTTTTAAAATAAAACCATTCAGCAATCAAGCTGTATTTTTCTGCTTGTTTTGAAATCAGAAGTCAAATGTGAAGACAGCAAGAGAACTTTGAATGTGCTGTCCCTGTATTGTGTCTTCATCATAAGCGTATTGTTTCCCATGCCATCACTCACTCATTCAAGTCATTATCCCTGATCTAGTCAAGTCATCAAGAGCCTGCATTAGAATTAGATTTGACAGAGTAAGCCTCAGTCAATGAGACAATCAATGAAAGGTGGATGCATTTTTGGGATGCCTCTGCATCTTCTGGGCTACTGTGTTTTGGATATTGTGCTACAATATTTCATGCAGTAAATTAAGATTATGTTTCTTTTTTGTCTTGATGCCTAAATGATCAAGCAGTTGGTACCTGTTTGGAGACTCAATTACAGTGTTGTTTCCTGCAATTGAACTTAGTGCCTTGCATGTTTAGAGGTTGGTTTTATGGTCTGTGGCCAGGACACTGGACTTGAATATTTCCTTAACACCTCATTGTACAGTCCATAAAATTGCTGCTCAACTTACGTATGCAAGTGCATTTAAACTGTGATTGCACTATTATTTTGACATCAAGCAAACATTTCACAGATGAAAAGGACTGAACCAAGCTTTTCTGAAGGAAGAATAACAATAATTAATGTTTCTATTACTCTGTTTAAGCAGAATATATATTAAGCCGAAGACAGGTAATTAATCCCACTTGAAAGAAAATACACTACTCATCATTCATTTATGAATTCTTCAGTCTCTTCATAAAAGCAATATCTCAAAGAAAGGTAAAATACCTTAGATACAATAACAGTCTAGGTCCTCTGGCTCTTATTTAGATGAAATTCCTGAGTTTATATTTTTCAGGGATTAGAGGATCAGGCCTGAGGACTAGCATTAGCTCAGTGAGAACTGAACCTATGTTTATAAAGCTGGGTGACATTTTTCCTATTGTCAGGCATGGTAAAGAAGTTTTTTTCTCAAAATACTATGGTATTTTCCCAACATCTGCATAAATTTTACAATGTATTTCTTAATTGCCAATACAAAATCCTGTTCACATTAGTTAAAAATTTGCAGATTGTTGCAGTAGAATTCTTTCTATTGAAGCTTAAATATTTTGATTTTTCAAATTTGAGTTCATGGACCTAGTCTTACATTTGTTGCTAGAACAGTATTTACAGATTTTTATATATGTTCTTTCTAAAACAAATCTTATATAAAATCTTGTCCATTTACTTTCACTAAATGTGAAATATTCTGGAAGTCTGTACAAAGCTAGTTATTTAGAAGTTTAAAATTCCTTCTCTTTTATAAAAGTGTTCACAGCATTATATAAACACTTATTTCCTTGTGAATCATCAATGTTTTAAGGTATTTATTTTCCCTGCTAGAGAAACTATATCTGGGGATTAACAGGATTGTTCACTGGAATTCATGTGGAAGCACAACTGCAGTAGTTGAGAAATGATCATGTTTCCTTTTAGTTCTCAGCAAGAGTAATTGAATGTTGAATATCTTACTAAACGCTGGACTGTGACAGTGTGTTAACACTCCGACTATCTCCTAACAGCAGGGCAATTATTTGCTGAGTGGGATTTTTATAAATCCCCTGGCAGTAGTATGTCCTGATAATTATGATGAAGTGCACTGGTCAGTGTTGATTCAGCAATCCCATCTCTAGCAAATATTTCATTCACAGCTCTCCTTCATGATTTTACTTTTATGCCTTTTAAAGATCTCGTACCTCTCCTCTCAGCTTGGTTACGTCTTTTTACAAATTACAATGGAGCAAGAAAGGATTTTAAAATTAAGTCTCTATTTTGTTGAAGTCTTTTCTTTCTTATTTAACTCCTCATTAAAAGACCAGAGTAAATAGCACTGTATTTAGGTTCTTGCTGTGACAACCACTTGCACAAGCTTCCTCTCTCAAAGCTGGTTTTTTTCAAGATTAAATGACTGTTAAATTAAACATTTATATTCATGATATATGTTTATTATTTCAGTCATTCAGAGTTGATATGAAAAGGTAATTAAAATAGAGCATATCTTTATTATTGCTTAGTTACAGTAAAAGTATGTAAATATATCAGAATGCACTTTCTATTGATTTAATGCTTACAATTTATCTACAGCTCAACTTTGTCAATTTTTAATTTTGCATGTGTTATTATTTGCAGCACAATAGCTATGCTCTATCTTAGAACATAATTGGTTTGCAATTTTTTACATAGACTTTAAATCTGAGCCAAGAAATAGGAAAGAAGACTAAGAAATAATTAATTAATAAATTAAAGTTGCAGAATCTAAACTGCTCAGGATTTATTATACCACTTAGGATCACCTATCTTTTCCAATGAACTGCCTAGCATAGTCAAAACAGCCTTGGTTTTCCTCTTCTACCTTTCATGTTTTTCTTTCCTTTCTTCCTTATTTCAATTGCTTTTGCTGCTGCCTTAATTCATAGTTAAGCTTTCAAGACAACTTTTTTTTCTTCTTTTATTCTGAAAAAAAATTAATTTAGACAGAAAGAGTTAACTCTCTTTGTATTGAAATGATAAACAGGAAAAGACAAAAAATGGATATTCTTTAGCATTGAGTAAATACAGCATTAGTGGTGGAAGCAATTCAGACTATAAAATCCCCAAATCTTTTCCTTGCTAATGTTTATTAAATTAATATTTGTTTCCTTATGATTTTTTTCTTCCTTTATATTTGATCATTAATTATAAAGATAAGAAAATGATTGGGAGGAAATGAAATGATAGAGTGTTAGAAATGCAGAAGGATTCAAAATATTAATGTAATGCTAAGGATGACTGCGTAACAAATGGTACATTTGCCAGTATGCTTGACCTGACGCAATTAATATTCCAGGTCATGCTTGGGTTTCCATGATGGAAGGTCTGAGGCAGAGAATTCCAGGGGAAAATATATCTATTGTATAACTCATTTCTCTCTCTCACTCTTTTTTCTTTTTTTTTTCCCTGACAAGTCAGAACCATCATAAAAAAAAAAAAAAAAAAAAAATCTCTGCTTTCACACCTCATTTGCCATATTCACCACTGGGCCACCATTCACCAGAAGGGCCTGATGTAAGGAGGTCAGTAAGAAGCTATTAGCAGAGTCCCCTCCTGAGATTTCTTTGGTCTTATTGAGGTGGAAGTTAGCATGACAGTACTGCAAATAACTCAGCTGTAAGTTTTTTTAACAGTTAGCACAGATTTCCCCATAGTGTTTGTCACTTTAGAAAATTGTTCCTGGAAATGAAGTCCTGAAAGTTGGCTTTGACAGAGACCCTTCTTAGTGTTGAAGAGCATGAGTACAGAAAAATATGTAATTTTCCCTGTAGACCAGAGGTACCTTTTTGTAATCTATGGTAATATTTTGGAGTGTTACATATTTTCTTATGGACTAAAGGTGGGGAAAATATTGATATCACAGTATGGGATAATATCCAAGACAGATACTTTTCTACCATTGAAAAAGGAGTATTAAGTAAAGTGGTTTTGTGGTTGAGAGAATATTTTATCAAAGTAGGGAAAGAAAATTAAATAATGTTTTTAATACATTATATTTGTCTCAAGAAGATATGCAAATGTATTAAGTACCAAATTTGATCCCCCAAATTCTTAGATTTCTGTAGACTGCCAGCTCCCTGCAGAGGACAGACTGAATAGAGTATTCATCACCACATTACACAGTGCAAGAAATTCCAAAAACAAGATTAAAACTTGCAGAGATATTTAAAAAAAAAAGAATGAAAGCAATTTTTCCAGGGGTTGATCTAAACTGGAAAGTAGAATCAAACTCATCCACTTGTCTCTCCTACCAAACTTTACCATTTTCAAATCTAGGCCTAAGCTTACCACAAACTTTGGGGAATTTAGTATAAATTAGTATTAATTTTATCTGTCTAGATACTAACTCCGTTGATTACTCTGTTATGTGTCTTGTTAAATACTTCAACATATATAATTGAAATGTAAAGTAGTTAACAAGGATTGCTTGAAAAATCATAATTTAAATATGTGGTTTGTAATCAGTTTTGACCCAGCTCTTACAAAGAGTTTCACTTCTAGAAGAAGCAAAATCTTTTAAAGTGTCTGGTTGGCCTCTCTAAACTACAAATCCATTTTCATCATTGATATAATATCTGTATGCATTTAACCTGAGAGTATGTAAAAAAAGGGCAACAAAAGATGATTCTTTGTTAAGACACCTTTTCAGCAATAATACTTCCAAAGACACTGAATCAATGGATTTCAACATTTATTATGGCTAATTTTGGTTTCATTAAAAGTGCTAAAAGCCAATTTTATTAGTGCTCTTGGTGATATTCAGTAGCATTTCACAATGTTTGAACCCTTTATGAACTATAGCTTTTTATTACTGCCAAACATTTAATCAAAGAAGCACAAAAGAGAATATACTCAGTATTTTAATAGAGATTGCAAAATGCAGTTTCAGAAAACCATTTTGCTCATGGAGACACACTCTCTTAGTGTGACTAAAAGAAGTACCTAGAAAGAACATTGATTTAAAGTTATTCTTGCATTTAATTCTTCAGAGGGAGAACATTTAAATTATTTCAGATATTGTATTTGTTACTTTGGAGTAACAAACACAAACCCAAACCTGTGTTATGCCAATTGAAATAATCTAATACTTTAATTTTTTTCAGTAAAAATAAATGCAAATATTTCCTTCTCAATTTGCTCTTCAGCATTTTTAGTTTAGTTTTTTTTTTTTTTTTTTAAGAAAAGGCTTAAAAAGGGGTGTAAATTTTCAGCAAACTCACCCTTGATCAGTATTTGTTACCAATCAACAAATCCATGCCTGTGAACTTTAGAGTTGTTATTATGCCTTAGTGTTTTCTTTCAGATCGCCCCAATTCTCAGTGATGAGCATGGAGATGTTTCTCTTCTGGGCAGTATTTAAATTTTCAGTGCCATTATTGCTTTCTATAAAATATGTGTTCCACAGACCTACCATGAGAGCAGGATCTCTTCTCATGGCTGAGAACTCTGCACATGGCTAGAACACAATCTCCACAGCTAAAAATGGATGGTGTAAGGGGTGGGGGGGGGGTGGAAAAATGAAGGAACAACACAGTGAGCAGTTCAGTGAAAAATGTAAAAAAGGTTATGTCATCAACATAATGAAGGCAAAAAATTAATTGGTCATAAGGTAGATCCAAAGGCTGCGGTAGGACTAATGAGTGAAGAGGTATAATGACCATGGCATAGAGATGGTTTGGGTATCTCCAGCAAGGGATCTTATTTACAAGAATCTATTGTATTCCTTTTGTATGGAATTTGTGTTGACTGGGGCATTTTATATTTGAGAGAACTTGTGTAACAAGTATATAGTGTAACTGCATTCAGTAATTGTGGGGAAGTGCAATAAATCCCAAGACAGCCCATGGAACATGTCCTTATGTAGTACTTACAGACCACCAAGTGGTCACAGGCAAAACTCTACTGGGCTGGTAAGACACTTGCACTATATCAATGCATAAAGTACTATGAAAATAATAACAGCATGGGGCAAAATTGTAACTATGAGATGTTTAAGTGATTAAGAGCCAGATCTGCAGAACAAAAGATTAAGTTGCAGCTGGACTTTACAGATCATAAGGATGGACCTGGAATTTCACATTCACTCCAGTGATTCTGCTTGCCTGCTGTTTGAAGCATGGATCTCTGCCATTCTAATCTGACATCCTGAAGAGCTGAAGGAACAACCAGTGGTTTTTTGGCATACATATATTTCCACAACTTACCTCTATTCATGTCCTCTTTCCCATTCCACATTGTGCCCATTAATGAAACAGTTTGTAGGGTTTGCTCTAAGAGACAAACAAATAACAGAGGACCAAAATAAATTATCATTAGACTCAAATAACTTAGAGATGAAGAATGTAGCTCTTAAATTTTGAATAGCCCAACACTATTTTGAATAAGCTAACATCTCTGAATACTTACGTCTATTAGACACTATGTTTTATATGTGCCTTATTTAATTGTTTTGACACAGGAAACTGGAATTTCCCAGTAGGATATGTTAATGAAAAATGCATTAGAGCTCATTGGGGAGAGTTCTGTCCTTTCAGCCCTAAGAGCTTAATACTTTATGAGGAGGCTGATGCCCTACACAGTTTTCTCATGGGTCCTCAGTAGTGCTCCAAAGGAGCAATACAAGATTTTAAACATTTACTCTTTTCCTTTACTTTCCCTGCATCTTGAAACCAATTTCTTTTCCTACTACTTTTATTCAAGATTTATTAGCAATTAGAATTATGTTAAAAGCAAAAGACAATATATTTTAAACTGACCAAGTCTACTTTGAAAGTTTTAGTCTACCTTTGTAGAAAATTTAATTATCTTTAAAGCAATCAGTGTCTTTAAGTAATTTTTTGTATATTTTAATCATATGTTATCTGTTTCACAGGAAATTTAGTGACTTTGTGCAATATGGAAAAGAAATTCTCATATTTAACAGTTTATTCAGTAAACTTACATATGTCTATTTGGGAATTGTTTATATACAACTGATAAAATACCTCCATATATAGGTATGATTTGGGAACAGTCTGTCACAAAATTTTTGACTTGCCAGATATTCAAAAATTGTTACTGATCTAGGTTACTAAAACAGAATTTGAAATGTGTGTTTTATATTAGCAATTGTTATATTATACCACACTAGTCACACAATTAGTGATATTAAAAAAAGTATAAAATTCAGTGGCAAAGGTACCTTTCTATTTTAGTCACAATTTCGAAATCATTATGCCAAATTTTTGTTTTTCACATGTTTTGTTCTATTAAGTCTAAACACATTGTAATAGTTATTCAGGAATTTATTGTAGACTTTTTTTGGGACAAAAAGCAATTACTGGGTTTTGGTATTCTAAAAATTCTCTTCTATTTCTCCTTAACTAATGACTGTTTTACTTTTAAAAGTGCACTGTCTGATTTTTTTGCTAGTGTATGTATAAATTTAAATGAGTTGAAGTCAAAAATAATCCCATTTTCTGCTCAGATTCCAGGCATCTACAATTCGCCACTCAGGAAATCCCCAGATCCAATGGAACTGCTGCTACGGAAGTCAAAGCCACTGACCCACAGAAAGCAGCCAGAGAAGAGCCCCTTTGCTGATGAGCTCTATGGCTGGCCAACTTGTAAAGAGCCTCCAGCTTTTGTCACATCACTGCCTCTGCTACCTGCTGACAGACAGAAACCTCAGGTAACATGTTCCAGTGACTCTGCAGCAGCTTTTGCTCACATCTTTTATCACAGATTATCTTGAGTTGGAGGTCTGAAAATTCCTTTTGTGAAGTTTTTTAAAATATAAATCTAGTACTTGCATTGGACATATAAAATCTTTGACATAGATTGGACTTAAAGAAAAAAAGAAATCTAGGTGTTACATAGAAACAGGGAAATGTAATTCTTTGTATGCACCTTTGGGAAGAAAAGTGTAATTTATGATATTTCAAAGGTATGTTTGATATAATTGAGTATCAATATTATGATTAATTAGAGCTAGAATTCTAAATTTCCAATCTTCAAGCATTAAAAAAAGGAGAAATGAAAGGTGATAGGAAAAATTAAGTAGTTGTGATAACTTTGTCCTCAGTTTGCAATTGTTTTCTATATGAAAACTGAAACATTCTCTCAGTTCAGAATAGTTCCTGCTCTCTTGTGTTCACTAGATGTGTGGGAGCTTTAATAACAAAATTTTCTACATGTCTGCTCCATCACAGCAAATTTACCCAGCTTCCATTATTGATTCTCATGTTCTCAATTTTAACTTCAGGTGACGTCAATGTATCTTACAGGTAGATTTGTTTCTGTTCTGTGAAGTAATGGACATCTGTGAGATAATGCATCAAAGCAAATGTCTCACAAGATGGCAAAACAGTTTTTGCCACTTTCTTATCAAAACATGTTGGGAATGTGACCAATATATGCAGCAGACAATCTTGAAAATTTGTGTTCCACACTTGATGACAGTATGATGACATGTAGCTTTTGCCAGTAGGTGCCTTATGCAAGTACTTTAGGCATAGAAATATTTTGTCTTTCCCACTATTCTGAAGAATTTTTCAGTTTGCCAGTCTACTGAATCGTCTACTTAGCTCACACATACACTTTCCATGCTGGTTTCACTTTGAGTGACCATCCTCAGAATCTCTGACATTTTCCTTTCTGTACTCCATTGTATATTTAAATTTCCTTATCTGTGTCTTGCTTAGAAATATTTATAGATGAATCCTTCTTGGCACATTTCAGTGAAACTATCACCTATCTGCAGAAATGTAACAAACTGAGCAATAAGCAATGTATTTATATATCTTTAATGGTGTTTTACTCCTCTGAATCAATATTGCTCTCTACAACTCTCTGAAAGGAGGCTGTAAGCCAGGTGCAGGTTAGTTTCTTTTCCCAGGCAACCAGTCACAGGACAAGAGGACATAGCATCAAACTGTACCAGGGAAGGTTCAGGCTAGACATCAGGAAGAATTTTTTAACTTAAAGGTGGTTAGGCATTATAACAGACAGACCAAGGAGCCAGTGGGGTCACCATCCCAAGAAATGTTCGAGAAATGATTGCCCATGGCACTTAGTGCTATGGTTTAGTTTGACAAGGTGGTGTTTGGTCAAAGATTGGACTCAATGATTTTGGAGGCCTTTTCCAACCTTTATGATTCTATGATTCTAAGAAGGTCTGTGGTTCTGTGATTCTAAGAATGCCTGTGAGAATATCTCTGGAGATAACAGTATAACAGTAAGAATCAACTTCAGTGCAGTTCTCCACCTTTGTTCTTCCTTCCTTGTATTTTCCCTACCCTGACTGCTTGAGATTCCTCTTAGAATGACCTCATTGACTCACATTAGAATTGAGACAAAGTGTGAGCCAACAAGCAGTTTGGGTGATCGGGGAGTTTGGAGTTGACATAAACATTCCATTATGACTTTACCTTCTGGGACCAAGGGGGCTATGACAGTCCTTGAGCAGGATGGGATTGGTTCCATTGTCCCTCAGGAAAGAGGAAAGCTTTTGCCTTGTGAGCATGATGCAGGAACCAGGCTTTTGAATAAATAGGAAACTCACAGTTCTTCCATTGTTAAGGTGCTCTTGCAAAATTCCTTTACTGTATACAAAGTATCTTACAAGCTTCTGCTTGGATTTGGAATATTTTATAGACCTTTCTGAGTTCAGACATGCACAGCAGTCTTGCACAGATAGCCTTTTAGAACAAACCAGAAGAGTTCTGTTTGTTTTCTGCACCTCAAAGAGGGAATTTACTATATAATACTTTAATCCTTTCAGCACCCTGGGATGTACACTGTGGGGTAAATTTTCAAAGCACAGCGCGTGGATTTAGCTGCCTGACTCTTATTGATGTTAATGGGAGTCACACGGCTAAATCCCTGCACAACACTTTGACAATTTAGGGTTGTATGTCTAAGAAAAGGACACTGGTTTGAGCTGATGAAACAGCTGGAAATGAAAATCCATCAGAACACATCACCTGAAAGTTGTCTGGTGTGACCAAAAGAAATTTAATTACTAGATATACTGGTGTCCTCATTCTTTGTAGTAACACTTTTTGACACCAAGCTTCCTTTTCTAATATCTGCCTGGATCACTTGTTACTTTTTTTCAGGTACCTAAAATTTTTCTTGCTCCTAGGTTAGGATATTTTATACAATGGTGACAGTTATATATGTTTAAAGGAAAAAAAATTAACTATCTTTCAGTTTTCTCTTAGGGAAATGAGTATGTAGCATTTAATAGTAAGGTCTGTATGCGTAAGATAGTGTATTTAAAAGAAAGGTTTTAATGATGCTTCTACATCAGATCTATCATTTTTATTACTGAGTTAACTAGAATTATAGTTTGATAGAAACATGGATAATGCTAAAATTAGTCATCTATTCATTAAAAGGCATTAATAACAGAATGCACATTACCATTTAGATCTTTTGCATGCTGTTATCTGTTGTCAAATGGGGACAGTGAGGAATGCATAATTTAATGCAGATCATACTTTTATCATGAGTTTCTGATGTTATGATATAGTAAGAATGCTGATCTGATAACCTTTATTTGGCAAACCAGTTGGTATCAAGGAAATTTATGCTACTCAGTACAAATTCTAAACATAGACCATAGAGCTGTGTGAGTTTCCTTCAGGGTAAACATTGTTGGCTGACTCCTACCCTTCTTTTCCTAGCCTGACTTCCCCATAAAGATTTCCATTTTGAAGCAGGATGCCTGAAATACTTGCAAGCATTGTCACTTTGAAAACATTTTTAAGTACCTATCTACCAGAGTTTCCACAAGTTTTATTCCTGTAAAATGGAAATAGACCCATGGACTTTTTAGAAGTCTTCATTTAAGATACATTCCTGAGGTCCCTATTACTAAGTAAATTTCTTCAAATACATTCTTCAGAGGAACAGAAAAATCTTCAGGGAATGTTTAGAATTATCTCAGTATTCTAATATATATACTCTGCTTTCCTTAGTGATGTCACAGCTTTATTTTGAGGGAATTTGCTTTGTTACATCCTTTCCCCCCCTCCTTCTATTAGTAGTTGTAATTTTATTTAAACTTTGGACTGGGTTTTTTTTCCTGTATCTGCCTCCTAGCTAGGTCTCAGAAATTAAGGATGGAGAAAGCCGCTTGCTTGGATATCTGATTTGGCCATTATCCTGGAGGAATATGAGTCAATACTTTTCAGTGAAGAAATAATACAGTATTCTGAAAGACTACTTTTAAAAGCAAACATATTTTTCTTGGTGTTATTTGGTAATAGTACATGTTTTTCTTCCTTCCTCCATATGTCAATTTAATGTAAATATCTTGTAACAAAATATTCAATTTTTATTATAAATTTTAAACTTTTTTATAACTTGATCGTCAGGTTATGTATTCCTAGAACACTGTTGAATTTCAATTACCTGTTCTAATAGTGATGAGTCTCACATGGGCGGTAGCACTTTTCTTTCTGTTTTAAGACTTTTGTGTTATTTTAAAATTAATATATTTCTCATGCAGACTATGAAAACAGAAGCAAGAAAATATCTGCAAGGAGTGTAAATATTATGCTCATTTGCTTACTGGGACCTTTAAAAAGATCTCCAAATCTTGGTACTGTGCCTTTAAAAAGTAAAGTTCCAATAAAAATCCATTAACTACTTTTAAATATAGCAATCCTCCTGTCCAGCTGTGAAAAGTACTAGATGATACTTATTTGCCATTTGTGTTATTTACGGTCCATGACTTTTATGGTAACTGGTTCCTATTATTGGTTTCTATTAATGTAAAACATAAGTGAACATAAATGAGGCGTGAATCATTTCTTTTTATTAGCCCCACAGTCTTCACTCAGTGCTTGCAGTAACTCCAGCTGTGACTTGTTAGTGATAACCTATTTAAAGAAGGATATCTTTAAGAATAAAGGCTGTGATTAGGATTCTTTGTCTGTTCATAATTTCAAAAGGTTTCAATAGTTCATTGCGAGATCAACAATGATGAAGATAAAAATTAATTTCAATACTTCTAAGCCCAGGCTTGCCATTAAACTGCCATGAGTGACACAGGCACTAATTATATTCCAGGTAAGTTCTTAAGGGTTAATACTAGAAGTGAGACATATAGGATATGCCACTTCAGCAGCACAGGAGAGGATTTCCTGCTGCTATTTATCCATGTTAAATGGTAGATACTGATACATTCAGTTATTAAACAATATACTCTGGAGAAAAAAAAGACATGTATGTGTATTTTTTAAGAATCACAAAGTTAATGTGAAATTAGACCTTTCAGAAATGTACTATATGCCTATAGTACTGAAGTCATGCGTTTGAATTCTATTAGAAGAATCATATCTTAGGCCATGCATTAAGTTCCCTTCCAATTGGGTTTATAGTTACATTGAAAAGAACATGTTCTTTAAAGTTTGTTCTATGCAAATTAAAATACTTAATTTTTCTGCTTAAGCAGAATTTAGATATAGTTAATGCTTATTTTTTATTTCACCAATATTTTTTCTAGGTAAAACCGAAGTTTTCCTAACCAGTGCTAATTATATATTTTTTAAAATTTTAAGTATTTATTAGTAGTTAAATAAATTTGAACTGCACTCTCTTTGAAGCTTTAGAGTATGTTATCAACCTTTATGATATTTGTAAGTCTCTATCAAAATGAGCAGTTGTAATTATTTTAATTATTTGCTACACTTCCCAAACATTCTGTGTCCTGTTTTATCAGCAATCTGCTGAATGAATAAAAGATTTAAAGAAAAGAACTGTAACCCCAGCAGAGCACTTGTATTATCCTACACCTTTCAGGGGCCTTTCCGTGATCCTGCTGAAGTGCTGCGGCAGCGCTACAAGCCTTTGGAACCAACCCTGCGAGTGAGAGAATCGATGTACTCAGCACCAGGCAAGGCCAGAGAGCCAACACGGAGGGAGGAATGGAGAAATCCCATCCATGACAATGAGTGAGTTCTCTGGTTCTTCTTATATTGTTGTGAAAATGTTTCCTTCATTCCATTGCTTTCAGAAACCTGTCATGCCTGACAAAATGAAATGTCAAGCCTGACAGCTTACTAGAAAACATTTTATGTATATACTTCTAAATTCTGTGTCCTCAAATTACAAACTGCTCAGGGCAGAGACCCTATCTTGTAATTGTATGACATGTGCCATCCATATCTAGGAGTGTCTAAAAGAACTTGTAATAATAATAATAATATGTGATGCAACAGATGGCTTTAATAGGGAATAAGAAAACAAATGCAAATTCTGTCTTGCCACATGCACCTTGCCAAGGAAAAAATACTGTTTCAAGCTTCATATTTTGGGAGCTTACTAGTTATGAGAGGAAAAAATGGTGTTGCATGCCAATGAGACTTGTTTTCTCTCCCAGAAGAGTACCACAGCTTACTTGGAAGGGGAGGGAGCATATGTTGCGTGTTAGAACATGATACTAAAAACTAGTATAATCTTTGAAGCAGTTTGATTTCCTAAGCCACAGCAGCTGCAATAGTGTCAGACAGGCCAGTTCTTTTCCATAAAATCTCAAATACAGGCATAATCTACCCCAAAAGATTAAAGCTTCTGTCCCAAAAGATTTCAGGCTGTGGCCAAAATATTTCCATTTTTTTTAGCATGATGGCTGTTAAACACTGTTTTATCAAATAATAATAAAAGCCTGCTAACTCACTTTCTCTGGCTTTGTAGTTAACTAGAAAAAAGAATTATATTTTGCCAACCTTTTCCTTGAATTCACTGCTCTTGACAATACTTTGGCTTTTCAGAATTCAGGACAGAAGGGAATCACTTTTCCTTATGAGCAGCCTGTGATTACTGGCACATGATGTTTTGCTATCTTTGATCTGTTTCGTGCCTTTTTATCAGCTCCATATTGCTATGTGTCAGCTTCAGGATTGGGACTTAAGAGTGCCAGAATCAATTGTGTTTACATGGTTTAACTTCTATGTTTTTATTGTTAGACCATTTTCCCCAATTTAATATTAATGGTATTTTTGAATTAAAATTCTATTCAGAAACCGCTTTGAAATTAAAAAAATAATTTATTAAGACTACTTTTTCACTTTTGGACAATGTTTTTGGTGAGGTTTTTTGTTAGTTTGTTTTTAGTAGTTTTTATTTGTTTTTTTGTTTAGTGAGAGATAACACTTTTTATTCCTTTCATACCAAAATCATACCTGAGTTAAGTTACAAGTACAAATGTACTCCTCTTTTCTATTTATCTCTGTATTCTTTCATGTATGTGTGTGAGGAGGAGGAAACAGCTTAATTTTCACATCTCAGCATAAATTTCTGTCTTTTTTTCATCTTTGTATCAAATTTCTGTCGGTGAAATTTAGAAGAACCCCTACCACTAGGTAGTAATTAATACTCTAACTCTTATTTAAAGTGTTTTTGTCACTGAATTAGTTGTGATTGATGCCTTCCAACTGAGGATAGATTATGTTCTTCATTTATAGGCATGACTACATAGCCCAGTCTTTATTTGATGAAGTTTACCCCAGACATTACTGTATCAACACTTTCAGAAGGTCAGACCTTGCAATAAATGTTTCACTGACTCTTCAGTGAGGGAATTGTGAAGATTTGGTCTTGTACAGTTTAAATTGAAGCCTCCAACTTTGGTAGATATTATTTGATGTGGGGTCTTTATTTACTTTATGGGTAAGGAAGCATTTAATAACATCCTTAATGCACAGAAGCAATGTCCCAACAATCAATGATTCTCAGCTTCACGCACACTAAATGCAGAGTGTATTATACATTTTCAGGCTCTGATCATTCCATTTGTGCTTCTTATTCAACCAGCCATGCAAGGGTCACATCTGTAACCTTGAAAAGGTGATGACAGAGCTGCAGGTCATCGCCAGGACTAATGCTCACTGGTAATGCTGCAGCTGCTTCATGGGATGTTGGTCTCCAGGGAGGAGCCAGCAAAGGGTTACTCAGATTCTACAGCAGTTTTTTCTCAGCAGTGTCTATTATGAATTGACAAATTTCTGTTTCTTGCTATGTAATTGTGTACTTTGGGACTTTATTTCTTCCTGGTAGTGCTTTCTAAGCTGATTATTCTTCTGTTTTAGAAAATAAGGAGAGAATAAGTAGCAGAAGTATGTGGCATGTGTTGAGAAAGCTTGTGTTTGCATGCATGACTTTTACATTGATATGTATATTTCCAGAGTATGTATTGTGTGAGGTCTCTTAAGACAGAAAGATTGTTGGCATGTACCTCAAGTTTTCAGCAACATTCAGAATTCTCACACACCTCTAGTTATTAGTGGTTGTTTGCAGGATGATAGGATGAGTGTTGCAAGCTCTGAGAAAGTTCTTGCTTTTGATAAAATGCACAAAAAATTTGGAAAAGCTGTGAGAGAGTTTGAGGCAGGCAGAAGCAGTACAAATGAAACCAAAAGAGAATATACTGTGCTTACTTAAAGCAACTGCTGGAACTTCCTTTTCTGTAATGGAAAAGCAACTAGGTAATCCAGTCTAATAAGAATGATTCCTTTTTCCAATATAATTGAAGCTGTTACTACCTTATTGTGCTATTTTTCATACAAATGAAGTAATTTCCCCCTCCATTTGGATAAGAATGACAATTGCATTCCTTTGGGATGGCCACTTAATACAGTGTCTAGTTTGAGACATCAACTGCTGGATCCAGCAGATTAAGATGAAGCATAAAAAGTTCTTTACTCAGTTGTGTGCAGCCGCATGCTGGCCTAATTTTCCAGTGAGCAAAAATGTAAATTATTTTCATTAACATTGATAAAATCTGTCTTATATAATATGCCTCATACTTCGAAGTATACTATTAAATATCTTCATGAAGTCAAGAAACATCAGAAAGAGATGCAGTGTGGTGATAGCAATAGTGTAAGTCATAGGTTTCCTAACTTATTGTAGTCTTTTGGTGTGACATCAGAAACATTATCTCAGCTTCTGACTGTGTCTGTGCTCAGTGCTGTGCTGGGGATGCACAGTCTGGTCCTGCTCACACTGGCTCACTAATGTGCAGCAATGTTTGCACATCCTGCCTCTCCTATTCTGTGTGAATACAGCAGCACCCAGCTCCTCATGGGCTTATTTTCAGCAAGATTGTGCTTTTCTTTAGAACAGCTGTGGTGCTGCTGTGCTGCCCTGTGCTGGGCAGGACAAATACACTTGCAGAGAAATTAGTGACCTAAATAAGCTCTGTACTTGGAGAGCACCAATGTTATGAGTGGCTTGGTATTAATTGTAAGAAAAGTTAAAATCCAAGTCACTTTAAGATTTAGAATCTTTAAAAAATCTTTTAATTTCTAGAGTTATAAAATCTTTTACTGTATTTCTGACTTAGCTGCAGGGAAAATGGCTACTACGACACATCTGAAAACTTTTTTCAAATTATTCTTAGTTTGTCATATGCTTTGCAACTTCAGCAATTTGCATATTTTCTGGACTGTTATTGTATTATGATAAACAGGGATTATCATATATTTTCAGATAATGTTTTCTTAACAATTCAACTTCTATTTGTAACTCTTCCATTTATTTTAATTACTAGCACAGTGTGCAACATTTATTAATCATCAGAGTCTTTTTAAGTTAAAATACTAAATTAGCTAACCCCATTAACACAGAATACTCCAAACAAGCAGTAATAGGAGAGGTAGTTACTGTGCAAATCGTATTATACATGCGGGTGCTCTAGGGCACAGTTAAGCATGATTACCCTCTTTTGATCCAGTATTCCTCTGCTTCTTCCAGCTAATTTCCACTGGAAATTTACAAAGTAGCGCCTTCATTTTTCCATCTTAATTTTTCTAATGAAGTTCTGGTACTTTATAACACTGGGGATGCAGATAATAAGTCTGTGTATAATTAAGAAGTTCCAGAATTTGCTGCAGAAGAGATCTCTTTTACATCCTACAGGAACTAGGCTGTGCTTTTATTTGCCACTTTACTTTGTCGCAGACAGGAGTTAAATAAAAGTGGCCAGAGAATTTTTAGATTTACTGATATTGCAATCAAAGTGATTGATACTTTTTCAATAAACTGTGTATTTATTACGTTACCAGAAACAATATTTGTACTAATGCACACAAGTAGGCTTCTCATGGCAAAAACAGTGCACTAAAGATAATATCACTAGATATGCTAAATAAAATACTACATCTTTATTCTTGTATCTAACACTTTGATTTTAATATACATGCTTTATAAACTAAATAATGTCTGCCTTGCTGCAGTTGTTTTGCTATGGAAAACCATTATGCTTCCTTCTTTATTCCCCAAGCGAAAAGATTTGATTTGATGAAAAAATTACTTCAGGTATAATCCAAATTTGAAAGCTTAAAATTAATGATGTGTTTTATTAAAGAAAAAAAAGAAGATAAAATATTCACAGATTCCTGATAAAGAAGCATGGCATGTTTGGAGCTAATTGTTCATGGAGTTCTTCAAAGCGAGATAAATTTGAATTAAATCAAGACAACAAAGAATTGAATTGCTGTTCTATAAAAACACTTTAGATAAAAATTTAACAATGTCATAGAGTTAATATTTAGCTGGCATTTTTCCTACTAAATTGCAAAAATGTACAGTACATACAAATGTGAAAGTTTGAAAATCCACTTAACAGTACTCTTTTATATTTCTCCCTGTGCCCTGGAAGTGCAGCATGTGTGGCAGTCCCGCAGTAGATCTGGCAGTTCTTTCTCAGAAGCCTGGGTATGTTTTGAAGCATTTCTGGGATCAGGATCACCTGCTTGCTCCAGTAGACTTCTGGGATTTTGCCTCTTGGGCAGGTTCAGAGAACATGCTGAGAGACCAGTCTGGTTATTTGTGGCCATTTAAATTTCAATAAAAAGTTACTGCCTGTCCAGTGTCCTATTGGTGGGTTCCATGATATTGCTGCCCAGCAGTCAGTGATGGACCTGAGAAATTCTTTTTCCTGCTTCTGCTGCTGTGCTCCTCTCACACTGCCATAGGCACCAGAAACCAGCTCCTGCTGCTGCTTCTGTCATCTCTGTCAGCCCAACTGGAAAACTTTCAGTATCTAAAGCCTTTTCCATCTCCTGTCAAAATAGTGAGAGAGATTGCAATAAAAGAGGCAGACCAAAGGGAAGAAATGGTAGGTGAGGAATGTAGGAACAAAAATCATGGAAGGGGACTGTAAATGTGTGAGGGAAGAAAAGGGTTAGAAGGATAAAATTAATTGTAGAAGGAAGGTCCAGGAGAGGATGAGAGATAAAACAATTTTTATTTTTGTTAGCAACAAATATCTATGGTGTCTTTGAAATTTAAATACCTCTAGCAGCTGTTTGAAGACTTTTAGGTCTTTTTAGGCTAATTAGGTTGAATATAGCAGGGTAATAGCAGCAGTGCTAGTGGCCTTCATCACCAGTGACACAGCCAGCCTTGGTCCTGGTCCTTCTCAGGTTATCTATGAGTAGTACTGCCATTTGTAGTTTCCCATGTTTAGTTCCAACCCTTTCACCATTTTGATCATATTCTTTGACATATTTCTCATTTGGTCTGATATTAATTATTTTTTCATTTTTCAATATATTTATTTAGGGAAAATTAATTAAAATTAATTATTTAGGGAAAATTAAACCTTCTATTAAATAATCTTTTGCTAAGTCTCAGCTTGTACTGTTTTTTTCTTATAGCCCAATAAAACATCAGTACAGAATTTAATTCTTCTTTGATTGGTACTTGTGTCTCTGTCATGTTTACTGAAAACCTTTAAGAATTTCTGAATTTACACTTAAATCACAAGGAAAAGCAGAACACTAGATGCAGGAATAATGAGTGAATGTTTTGAAATCTAAACTATTGAAATCTAAACTTGTACAGTTGATAATGTTATCCTACCATTGTCTGAATTTAATGTTCTTCCATCACTCTCTTCTGTCACTTTCAGAGCACGTATTGTCATTAATTTTGGGAAAAGCTGTGTCAGGTGTATACAAAGAGCTACAGAACATAATACCATTACTGAAGTATTTTGCAGTGCTATTACTTCTTCTTATTATTATTGGTTGGGGGGCTATAATGACTTTGGTATTGCTCCCATTAATTTGGTTACCCTACTTAACATGAAAACTTGTTGTAATTCTTTTAATTACTTATTCACATAATGTAAATTCTCACTTTCTTTAAGAAGACACTGAATTTACAAGCATGTGATCCTTTCTTGTTGCTAGAGCATCATCACTTCAAAGATCTGCCCCCTGACTCTGAGAGCAGAACTGTAAACAGAAGAAAAATCTTCTACTTGATACCTTTATACCCTATTAAATATTTGTTATTTCATTTAAAAGAAAATACTGCTAATTGTGTCTCACAGTATTAATTTTGGTTTTTTTTTAAATTATAGTAAAACCTACATTACTCTGAGATTTTTTTTGCCAAAAAGACAGAGATGAACAGATCCACAGAAAAATCAAAACCTATATGTAGAAATTTTTTAAGGAAAATTATAATAATTTACTTCTACTTTCCTCAAGATTTTATAATTATTTTGTGTATAAATTTTACAGACATGATATTCATATTAAATTATGAATGCTATGGCTGAACTAAATTCTGTGCATATATGGGTAAATCCCAAAACTGCAAGCCTTGTCTTCTCAGCTATCCAATCCCCTGAGAAAGCCAATTTTCTTTCATGTCTGAACAAAAGAAAAATGTACTATTAAAATGCAATTCAGAAGTGATAAAAACTGCAAGTGGAGCAGCCGGCTCACAGCACCTTCGATGTATTCTCTGGGACACTGGGGCCACATTAATTTTTGTGTGTGTGTGATGTCCATCCCATGTGCAAATTAGCATTACAAGTACCCTAATCTGTCTTGTGTGAGGGTGTCCTTTCCCATGGGTATACACATGCTACTATAGCTTTTTATTATTTAAAAGTCTGCTAACTCAGGGTTTTCCTTTCACTAACTTTACATGGCATTTCTTTGTGGCACATGATAGAAGAAGTTGATACAGCTGGAAAGATTCTAAAACCATTTCTTTTTATGAGGCGGAAAGAAAGAGAAATATTTTTTAAAAACCCTCAATTGTTGATAAATCAGTCAAAATAAATAGTTTTCTGCATCTGTATCAGCTGAGAGATGAAGAAGGGTATTTTAATCCTCATTTTTGTGTAAAAATTTTATTTGCCTAACTCTTACAGGGACTGTGGATTCTGAAAAGCTTTCAGCTAAGGAAGCATTCTAATTAACTGTACTTCTTCATGACATTTAAAAGTCATGTTTTGGACTTTCTGAAGCATGTCTTTTTAATTTTAATTCCTGCACTTCTAGAATTAGGAACACATGTTGATTTCTTCAGAATAACAACAATTATAAATTTAATTCCCAGTGTTTTACTTTATAGTAAAATGTACTTGTTTGCTCTTATGACTCTCCGGGAAACTGAAATAGATGGAACTAAGATGTGTTTGTAGAGTGTCTTGCAGATCTTCTATATACAAGGTCTGAAAGATGTTTTTCACTTTCCTTCATACAGTTTGCTGTGAAACCTACCCAAAAAACCTGTGGTTATCCCTGACAATTAGGGACATCCATCTGAAAACCTCTTCCAGCAGGTAGCTGGAGCTTCACTGCTCGCTGGCATTATATAAGGAGCAAGTCCATCATCGTTATCACCGAAAATGAAAGAAGCTGGCTCAAAAAGATTGCTAATTAGGACATAATTATAATTTAAGTGTAAAGTACACAGTCTGTGAATTCTAAAGAAATAATTTCTCTGTTTTGTGGTTTACAAATATGCACAAGTTTCTGTTCTGCTAAATGAGAATATGGTTTATTTAGCTTTGGCTATGACATACATAGCAAAGGATGCCTCTCTCCAGAGGTGATCTCTCTCCTTGTGCATGGGGAGCTCCTGCCACTGGCAGCTGGCACAGGCTGCACTCCCTGCTAGGACCTGAGGTACCAGCAGGCACCTCCCAGCAAAGGGAACCCTGATTGTCCTGCACATCCCACCAGCTGTCAGTGCAGATACACACAAAATAATAATCTACTAATGCAAGTGAACTAAGTTAGATCCTTGCGCACAAAGTCTTCATTTTATCCTGTTGAAACTCATTGTCTCTTTGCTCCAAATTTAATCTGAAAAAAGGTGCAGGAGAAATTACAGTAATCCTTTCACAATACTGAGAAGGAACATTAAGAGTGTAGTGGAAAATATCAGGAACTTGTGTCCATGTCATCTCCTGAAGCACTGATATATATCAATCCCGTGGCATCTAGAGAAGAGCATAACTGATTCTAAAATATTCTTGCATTTCAGATTTCTGCCATTTTCTTCATATCATAAAAATTATGAGAAGTATGAGCCATCACTTTTTAAGTCAGACAAATATGGCCAAGAAGCTTATGGAACTAAATATTTCAGAGAAGTATATCCTAAAAAGTGGGTAGCAGACAAGGTAAGTCACTGCAAAATCAAGGATTTATTTACTTTTTTGGATAATCAAGGATTTATTTACTTGTTTTATTAGAACTAAGTGAATTTCAGTATGATCTAGAGATCATGCAGTCCAACAGGATTCTTTCTAGCACGTTATAAAACCACGTAGTTAGAGCTTGATGAGTTGTGAAATTTCCTTGACTCTCTGGTAGATTCAATTTGAGGAAATTCAACACCTGTTGGTCCTACAAGATCAGGATTTCAGACCCTGATTAAGTAAAGCTTCAGTTATATATGCATTTTCTTAAGTTTCATTTTGTTTGATTTGCCTTTTCTGATTTAAGAGAGGTTGTATATTTACTCTAACACATTAAGATAAACTTCAGGATACTATAGGAAAACCTGATTAAAACAACACGATATTTTAGCACTTACATTCTTTGGAAAAATCTTAAAACTAGTGAATAGCTGTTTTTTATTTTAAGAAGACCTCATTAAATTGCCTGCTTTGTCAGGAGCATCTCATATATGTCTGGTTTTGTAGTGCTGTAAGAGGTAATTTTTCTCAGAACATGAGTGTGTAGTGTTTGCATTATTTGTATTTGTATTAGGTACCTTAATCACTTTAAAATTTCTGAGTACAAAAACGGTAGTAAATTTTGGCTTTATGCTGCATTCTCTGCCAATACAGTTAGGGGACTGGAGCAAATTTATAGGAGGAGAGGCTGAGACAGCTGGAACACTTCAGTCTGGAAAAGAGAAGGCACAGGAGAGATTTCATTAAAGTGCATAAAAACATCATGAGAGCAAAGGAGGAACAAGACCCCAAACTTCTCAGACTCCATAGTGTGCAGGGCAAGAGTCAACGAACACAAGTGAAATGCATGATATTCAAGCTGACAACAAGGAAACACTTTCCTGTTTTCTTTTTCTGTGAGGGTGACAGAGCATTGGCACAAGTTGCCCAAAAAGGTTGTATAATCTTTATCCTTGGATATATCCATGGTCCAGCAACCTGCTGTAGCTGAGTAGGGGACCTGTAGAGGGTGATCTCAAGAGGTCTCTTCCTACCTGAAAAATTCTGGGATTTTGTAAGATATGATAAATTATTTCCTTGAAAGCAATTTAACCTTTGTAAATATACAACAAGTTCCAAGGAATCTTAGTTTGAGAAGGAACATTCTAAAAATATTTTTCCTCAAAACTTTATGGTTTAAAAATTAGCTGAGAGTAATTGCATGCAGTAATTATCTCCTTGCAAATAAAACATCAACAATCAAACAGATTTCTGAATTTCAAAAGCAAGGAGTGGGAGATATGACTGGCAAAAGTCCCACAGCATAAGTATGATATATAAAAAGGACCTAAATTATTATTATTTCTGGTACTCATCTTGTCCTGTAAAGACTTGCTTTTCCAGTTCTTACAAGTTCTTGCTCAGGCTCAGATAATGATATCAAAACCCTAAAGATATTTATACTGTATATCATACCACACATATATAAAGTATGGGCTTAGCCAAAAAGAACTCTACTTGTGATCATGGATAGATATCAACCTAAATCTCTGGCAGTGAATAGCTGTATACATTAACCCAACGTGACACAGAGCCTTCCCACTCCAATTCTAAATCAATATGAAGCTTCCATTAGCAGCCCCTTACCCAAGCAGAGAGATAAGAGGAGAAAAGGTCTATTTATGACATACCTACTGCTTTAATGGATCATTATTATCAGGAAAAAACCCAAAAAGAACCACAAAACCTCAAGCTCCTCATGGCAGTTTAATGGAAGAAGGCCTATATGCAAGTGTGACGTCATACTTTCCTGTTAAATTTAATAGAACTCTGTGTCACTTTCTCATTTCTAAACACCATGAAAACATTGAATATATAAATGCAATGAACAAAATTATCTGTTCTAATGAATCACAAGACTGAAGGGCATGTAAAAAAAAAAGTATTTTTGCTTAATAGCTTGTCTGCTGAACACAACCCTCCTCTGAGTTTACCACAAGGTTATATTTTTGTGGATGCAACCTCTATTAGAACATGAATAACTGATAACACTGCCACGATCTCAGTTCAGTTTCTGATGGACTTATGATAAACAAGTTTCTTGTGTTGTTGCTGGTAAGAATAGGTAAGTTCTTCCAAGGAGTCAAGTCAGTGGTCTGTTGATCAGTGACCCGTCTGAGCTGCTGAGGTGCTATTTGATATCAGTTGATATTAGCTGGCTTTTTTTAATATTAAATACAAAAAGTTTCTTTGTGTCTGTGTGTGTACATGAGCATGTCCTAGTAGTATTTTCCTGAGGTTTTCATGTGTTTATTACTATGCAATTTAATTCAAGTCACAAAAAGATTAGTATGTAAATTATATAATTACTTTAGAAGCAAAATGAAAACAATGAAAAGTATTACCTTGTTACATTTCTTCTGGAAAATGAAAGGATATTAGCATAGACTTCCTCTAAACATAATAATTACCATATCTATGTGAGGAAAAGTTAATGGTTCTTTTTTTCATCTAGTTATCATCTGAAAATTTTATCTCACTCCATTTACATTTCAAAGAAGTTTGAGTTAAGGAAAAAAGTGTTCTGTTCTAATTCTTTATTATAAATAATCAGGGAATAGAAGTACTATACCTTTAGTGAAACTGAATCTAATTAGTTTACTCAGCAAATCAGTATAAAATATAAAACTGCTTACATATTTTAAGTTTTACATTATCTATCTAAATAAATTGAACTGTCTTTGATAGAATTAGTGTAAGAAGTTTCAATATAAAAAATTTACTAGACACTAGGAATTTGATGTATAATGATAGGTTCCAGTGCAGATGGACAACCAAGGGATCAAATACACTAACTATAGTCTTTCAGCTGTCAAAACACTCACATATGTTCATATTTGCTGAGGCAGAAATAATAGCTTACAGTCTTAATCGGTATTGGAATTAGTTTGCATATGCATTTTAGAAAACTGACTTTAATGTTTTCTTATTTGTAAAATTCAGGAAGTGATAGTTGAAGATGTTCAATTCTGATAGAGTCTTCCCTCTGATGCCTTATTATAGGTGAATTACAGTACAACTGAATCACAGTTTCATTATTTGCACAGGCATTTTGGCCCGAAACAGGATTTTATTACCTACAAAGCATAAAAAATACCCAGGACTGCAAAGAATTAATTTAGAGAACCTAAGCATATTGCACAGAACATAAAGTTGACCTTTACCGTCTACAGCTTTTGGAATGGAGTGGGATGTGGAACACATCGTAGATTTAATGTGGCACAACGCTGTCTGCAGAAACTTGGGTGGGACTGTGACTGCCTGCCCATTGCACCCGATGATTGAATCTGCTGTCACCAGCATCCTGATAATAATGAACATTCAGCTTAACGACCGTGATTATGATTATCATAATTAATGTGCAAGTGCAGTGTGTGGGGATCATTACAGCTGAACTGTACAGCACAGAAACATGCCTTAGTTATAGATAATTTTACTTTTATGCATTGATTGGGATAAAATATGCCTTTCAAGTTCAACAGGCCAGCTTGATATAATTTTAGTAAGATTTCTACATGTATGAATTGATGTTTATGAGCTTCCTGAAAAACAGTCATTTTAGCTGTTTGTTTTGAATTGTTTCATTCCATTAATAATGGGAAATAATTAAATAATTAGATATCATCTAGTGGAAATCACTTATAGAGTATTGCCAGCATTAATCAAATATCAACTTCAAATAATTCTGATTATCATGGCCTTGCCTGGGCTAGAAAACGTAGTTCTTGTAATTCACCACCAACACAATTCTATTTCTGGTGGAGCAATGGAAGCAGGGGTGTGGTCAACACTGCTGGCATTTTCACACTGTACTGTGTAGCCATTAGAGCAGGCAATAGTTGTTCCATATATAAATTATATCACTTCCACCTTTGTCATCAGAGGCAGAGAATTGCAGTCTCAGATTCAGCCAGCGCAGATAAAGGCACAATCAAGAGCTTCAGTCAATTTTGTTGAACAATGATTGCCTTCAACTCTGATTGCATGAAGTTGCAGAAGTATTTAATTAAATCATGACATACATAACAGATAAAAACAAGTATGAGTATATAATCCAAGCCAGAATTTATATAAAGAATGTTGTAACATAAGTATAATGAAAAGTATAATTTCATTGCTTTACACTAGGCATAAATTTGGCTCTTTGTCCAAGAACTGACAGATTTTCCATCTGGGTTAATAGAAAAAACAGAAAAAAATTCTTGTAGTGGCTGAAAAAGATTTTTTCTGTTTGAAAATTAGTTTTATCTCTTGCAGAGCCAACACATAAAACAGTCATGTCTAGTGAATGATGTCATTACCAGGCAGAATTTTTGATGCACTCTTTGTGCTTTTCCTTCCCTGTCTATACTGAAATCTACTTAAATTCCTCCTTCATTCAATTTTTCTAACCTTCCAGTGATTTACTTTGAGATCATAGGTATGATCTGTGTAAAGTTTTAAATTCTTTCTTATTCAGACTGTGACTTTATTTTTATCAAAGGAATTTGCTTGTTTTCATTTTAATTAGAAAAAAAGATTATCCATTATTATGCCGTACTAGAAAACATACAAGAACGTTTTCTAGTACGGCATAATACTGGCTAATGAATGTGCATCTGAACTGTCAGCTTAATTACCTTTTAAAACTTTAAAGGCCATATTTACCAGTGTGCTTTGTGACAGAATTTACTAATGTACATAAGAAGTGCTAGTGCATATTTGGAATATCAGATTCCTAGTTCCCCAATCCAACCTCAGTGTGTTTTCTTGGTCAATACAGATCTCACAAAATGTGGCAGCCAGAAAGGAATTATTAGATGGGCTGTAGGAGTTTGCTTGTTCCAATCCTGGTTTCCCCATGAGCCATGTCAGGGATAATAAGGGTTGTTGCCAAAGTGGGATGAACTCCAGCGATCCCTGGCCCATGACGTGGCTCCTGTATGGTTATTACTGCTGGCATG